ATTTAAAATTTTAGTGTTGAATTAATGATATATGTTATCTATATTGCATTATCTATCATAATTTAAATTGTTTAGCAAAGATATATCACAAAAAAATAATAATAAATCTTTTGACATTTATATTGTCGCACGATCAAAGATCTCGAAATAGCGCGGATTAGTCCGGCCGATTTTGAGAACGAATCGAATTCGAGTGGGGTTTGACAAGAAAAGGGACTCCCCTTCACAGATTTATTCCGTAGAAATCTCTTATTCCTCGCCCCGTATTGCGGAAAGTCGCGGCACGAAGAATGTCAGATGCAGAGACGGTATTCTAGCTGCGACGCATGTGCGAAAGAAAGAGAAAGAGACGAAAGAGAAGAAGGACGAACAACAACGAAGACAACGGGAGTTTCTTTAAGCGGGTAGCGATTTTGCGGCAAAAAGCTGTATTGTAAAATTGAAAGTAAGCAACGTGGAAACTTTTCTGCGGACGATGAATTTCGAATTTAGCTGCCAAAGAGTCCACTTTTACACAACAACAATAAATACATTCAGATTAACGTTCGAGAAAGTAATTTTTCTTTAATTAGTAAGTGTAGAAAAAAAATAATATATCAGCATTTTGATAGGATTCATACAATATGATCGGAAAATCGCGGAGTGTTTTCCTACTCTATTTACGTTCCAATATTTTTCTATATATTTTACTCGTACGAGGATTACCCGAAATGTTTTATTGCCACGGCCTGAAAGCAAACTGATGTTTTTCATTTTGCAGTATCGAACAATTTATTATCATTTGTTATTTTTCAACGTGATATATAGTTATATGTTATATTTCATTCGTGCAAGAGCAATAAAAGTGTTTTCTTGATAATTATATTCATGTCTGCCTTTCCCTTCGTAATAAATTTATGTAGATGTAAAAGAAGAAACGTTCTTCCGCGTCTCAATCAACATCGCTACGTCACACAAGTCTAAATAAAAAGTAAAAAGTTTACTAATTTTTATTGTTATGCGTATTTATACGTGGATTCTCTCGTTTTGATGGAAGTTATTTAAGATAATAAATAGATTTTTTTTTTTCTTATATGTCGAAAACTCTCATCCTATTTAGATGCGGCGCGGAACGTACGTCACGCCGGAATGTGAGAATTTGTAATGCGCGGTTTACACGGGTTACACGGGTTGTTGACGCGTCGTCCATCGGTGACATCGTCAACCAGTTACTCCCGCGGGACGAGCTCACGCAAGATCTCCCAGTGAAACCTGGAGCACACGTGCTCTCCTCGCGGTTGTCCAAGCAATCTTTCGCCTCTCTCAGGCAATCATCATTACGCTCGTTACATTTAGCCACCCGCAAGGCACGCGAAGGATACGACACATGCGGAGCATTCTTGAGACAATGTCGAAATTCCATCTTACCCATCGTCTGCGACAAACACCTTGGCAGAAACCCTCTGCCCTTCTTCTCGATAGCCCCGAGGCGGCTGCTCGACGCTACCTCGCTACCCCTAGAAAAACGTCAATTTTCGAACGTGACAGTTTTCCGATTTACCAGGTAGGGTGGGGGGGGGGGGACTTGCGCGCTAAATGGTTTTCGCGGGGGCGGAAATCGAGTGCTCGCGCGACACTTCGTTCCGTCCTCGCGGATGGACGGAACCGGACGGTCTCGGTGTGAACTGTCGCGTTAGGGACAGTTGGTCTTGCTTTTTGAGAAGATGAAAGATCGCGCCCATTTATAGTACCGATAAAAAGATAAGATCTCAACATCGTTCTTTTCTCGAACGGTAAAGTAAGTCTCGAGCGGAGAGACACCCAATTTAACTTGTAATAACCAGCTACCTGTTATAATATAGATAGTACAGAATAAACGTAACAATATATATATATATATATATATATATATATATATATTATATTACAAAAGAAGTGTTGTGAAATATGAACGTACATTTATTATTATAATCGTGAATTAACAATCGTGTAGCGTTTCCTTTCGTCTCACATTCCGACTTTACTTTCTCATTGTTGAACAACTACTTCTTTCATATTATATTTCTAGCACAACACATATACACGTACACATTTTGTAACAACATTAATAAAAAAAAAATGTGAATGTTTCTATTATATTCCTTTTAAGATAAACTTTTCAAATTTTTTATTTAAAATAAAGCTTTTGCATAGATTTCGTGTTAAGAAGAAAGAACTGTATTTGTACAAGCGAATGAAAGAATGCACTTGTACGTAGAATACCGCAGATGCCCTTTAATCTAATTAACATCTTAATTATTCCTTAATATCCTATTTAATTCTGTAATTTTAATTTTCACTTGTATACAGCGGCCAATCTGACAAAAACGTACATTTATTTTTAATACATATTATTGTATCGTTAGAAAAAAAACTTCTTAATATTTTCCTTGGATTATTAAATTGATTAGATATTAGATTAGATTATTAAAATATAAAATAAATTTTACGTTCAATAATTGATTACGATCAGTTACGGCTTATAGACATAGACATTTTAATTTTAAATTTTGTTAGTTTTGTCTAAAATGATTAAAATGTAAATCTTTTTTAAGATTTTAGTAGATTAATATCCGCTTCAAACTTAATACGTTTATGGTTGATGTAACTATTTGTTATATTATTATATGAAAATCGTACAGTTAATTGTTGATTATGTGATCATACGTGTATATACATTATATTCCCACCAATTTTTTTATTTTCTATGATATTTATTTATTTTCTATGATACGCGCGACAATATGCGACGTGATTTATTTCGTTCATGTAACGCGGCATGTTTTTCTTTTTTTTCTTTTTTTCTTCTCCCCCCCCCCCATTGGATAAGTTCTCGTGATCTTTAAGCGGCGAGGACCGAATCACTTTTTCACACTTATTGCCTTATCGAACTTGGAATGTTTTTGGCTGAGGAATGTAAATCAGCGGAGTTTAACTTAGATGAACCCTGTCGTCCAAGGAAAAGAGGTATAGAGAAAGGGGGTAAGAGGAGGGACGCAAGATGGAGTAGAGGATCGTGGGAGAGAGTCAGAAGTTTTGGATTACCAAGTGCAACGCCTCCTCCTTAGAATCCAAATGTTGTGGACGGGTTAGTTTGACTTTCAATGGATTGCCAATCGCGGTGCAAACGCGGCTCGCCGTTGGAATACGACGATGGCACGTGCGCGGCTCGATAACCGGATACAAAATACGCGTCAGCGTTAGCTACTATCTAATTGGATCAATTTTCGGATAAATTACAAACGTCGTTCATTGAAATGTTTCATCGGATGCGTAATGGATGCTTCAACAACGCCGTTGAAGCGTTGCATCACGTGTTGGATTGACACATTGTTTCGTTGATAGAAATGTATAAAAGTTGTTTGCTAGTTGCAAAGTATATTTAAGGTAAATCAATTGTTTTTTTTTTTTTAATTTTTATTATTAATTATTTTAATCAAATTAATAATTAATTTTTGTAAACTTTATTCCGCAATTTATTCCGCAATTTTTTCAGGAAAAAAAAAATATTATAAAATAAAAATTGTATTTCGTGTCAAAAGTGACGTAAGTTAAAACAGAACGTGATGCTCCAGAGTTGAGAAAGCTCGCGGTTATATCTGGGCTTATGCTGTTATTAAGGAAGAAAGGGCACGCAAGAAGCCACGTATTCACAACTACAAAGCACCGCAACGTATGCCCGTCCATCCTGCGGGATATCTCGGTACGATTTTCCGTCGGGATACGAAGAGGAGTTTGAAGGTTCCTCTCGGTTTTCCCGACTCCGACAGGTTACGTCCTGCATCACAATACTTCTCCAATTTCCTGAGCAGAAGTTACGGGACACGTTCCATCATGACGTCACGGGAACAAAGCTCTTTCTCTCTCTCCGCCATCTCGCTCGCTTTTCGTTCCCGTAAGTCGTCAAGACCATTCCCCTTGTATAGCTGGGGGTTGCTCCTTTCGTTCCTCCTTACACCCTTACACCCTTGCAGAACGAGAAGATGGTAGTGGGGATAAATAACTATTCGAGGTAAACTAAGTTTGCGTGTGCCGCGCCGACGAGAGGACCGTCTAAAGATCGCAAACGGTGACTTTCGTTTGACGCTGTTCGATCGTTAACCGTGGAAACTCGATTTGTCTTGCTTTCAGGACGTCTGCCAAGTTACCGCCACGATGGATTCGGATATGCAAAAATAATGGGTAAGTCGGCGACTCATTATGCTCTCGATATGGCGCGAGAATATGGATTATCAAAAAGGAAAAAGAAACTTTACGTGGCGTCGCGCGCGCTCGTTACAAAGCGAAAAAGGAAAGGTGTGTGGAGTTCGAAATGTCAGTCACGATATCAGATATCATCAATTCCCAAATAGGGAATTAAGTCACAAGATAGTAAATCGCAAGATATATTTCTAGATGTTGATCTAAGTATCCTTTGAGCTTACAGTTTTAGGAGCTATAAAAGCATATGTTGTTGTTAGATACAGTTTGAAGTGCTAAGTTTATTAGTTTTCAAGACGTTTTGAAAAAGTATCAGAAATAAAACAGAATCCACCCTTGGATACATCTTGCCTGACAAAATATCCTTTAGAACGCCAGGAGAACGTTCATGTATTATTAGAGTTTAACAATTTATTGATCATTGTAGAAATTTGTAAATTTTAATTTTTCAATAAAACTTTAAAGTTTAAAATATTATATTAGAAAGTAGGCTCAGAAAGTAAGCGTGTAGATTATTTTTTTTTATAATATAAAATTTATAATATAAAATATTAAATGAATTAAAATCGGAGGATACCATGCCAAAATTACGGTAATTACGAAAAGTAACTTTTTTTTTCATGTCGCACGTTAAAATTCAATCTAATAATATGGCGTATTTCGCACTCGGAAAATTCTAGAGTTCACGAATAAAAGAGTGTTTGTATCTAACAGACGGCCAATTCAATTGGCCGACTACGCTGCGCGGAATGCTGTGCCAAGTTTTCTTAAAGTCTACTTACATGCGGCAAAAGTGCAATCAGCAATGATCGCTAATGCGTCCTTACGGCCGATGCACGGTGGTTACGTGTCGTCTAAATGGAATTTGCAATTATCCACCTCCGGCAGGATCCCGGACCTAGTATCAAGATTCCTGATACCGTTCATGGGCCGAGACGGCCCTTTGGTTTGCTCCATCCAACTTAGGAAAACCGCTCGTAAGATGCTTGCGGTTACGTCGCTGATAAAGGAATGGACGGTCGAGCTAGAAGTGGAAAGGCAGCACATGATCGAATGTTACAAGCGAGTTTTTAAAAGCAATACTGCCATATCATTTTCATAAATGATATAACAATATATTGTACGTTTTATTATAAATTTTATTATTTATTTATTTTAATCTAAATCTCTCGACGACATCAGACATGTATAAGCGGTATCTGTATCAAACAATTCGCGTGACGATACGTTACTGTGTTGTGAAATATAATTCCGTGAAAGAAGATTCATCCCGGAAAGGATTAAGACCACCGGAGGCGAACATCGCACTTAATGAAGCAGCTACACGACGACGCTTGGTCTTTGTCTTGGCGAATGTGGCGGCACGCATTCGCTGGCTGCGAATACAAATTTATTAATATTAGACGACAACGGAAGGAGAAGGGACGCATTATGTTGTATCGTCGCATGTACAGTAATAACGACGGGACTCGCTGCTGCGGGGCGAGGTGGGGGAGAAGGGCGACGAGGAGAGAGAACGGTCGGCGGCGATGAGAGGGAGGCTAACTGCCGGGCGTGGACTATGCGCGCCACGTGTAATTAGCAATGTTCCGGGGTGTAGGGACTCGACTTTAATGGAGCGCGTCACATTAACCCCGGCATTTGCACGTCAGGCACGAAGATCGAGTGGAGTCTCGCGCGCGCGCGCGCGCGCGCGCACGTGGGTATACCCTTCCCTGTTCGACTGATAACGAACGAAACCGAGAGATCTTTCTTTGTCGGCCGTTGTACGAGAAATTATACATAAGAATCACCGTGTCGAGCAAATAGCGAAAGAGCACTCATCTTTAACGAAATAAATATTAAAGAGAAGAAATAATAATTTGGATCGTGGTTAATGCACGAGGCACGTAATAACGATGCCCAGCTGATTTGAAAACTACACTCTATATACGGTAGATCGAGACTTGCGCTGAATATTGCGTTTAGATTTATATTTAAAATTGCGTGTATTGCAGGTAACGGGTAAATTCTTAATCTTATAAATGTTCAGATTGTTATTATCGTGAAAAAGACAATTGTAGGAAACCTTGGCGATTACGGAAAACGGATGTGAAATTTGCAAAAACCGCGGATAAAAATGCAATAATGCTGCGGGTCTCTTTCCGAGCACAAACAGAAACGCAAAAGAAAAACAAAGACAGAAAAGGGCGGGTGCGCATAGTGCATTTGGTTGCAACGTTGCATTGCGAAGTTATACGGTGTAAGAGCCGAGTTATATTACCTGGCCTGAGGGGGGTCTAACGCATTCAATTTGCGCAAGTATTTCTCGCTACTTTCCCCGATATTCGACGACGTGGGGGGCACGACGCCGCCATTTCTCCGTAGCAATAAAACTCAGTTTTATTATTGATAGTCCGGTACTCTCAAGGTACCGTTCTCCTTTTTCCAGGAAATGGTATCCTAGCCGCCTGCACAACGAGCGATTTTAACACGATGATTCGTTTGCTTGTGAGACGGCATTGTGATACGTATCCGAAACGTATGAATAGAATCGTATCAAATTATTGGGATAGGACAATGCCATTTTTCCCGTGCGCTTAATTTAATATCCCTAATTAAATCCCTTAATTAAATATCAAGTCGCAGCATTTTGCTTTATTTGTCGCAGACAATTTGCAAATCTGAAATAAATCTCAGGCCGAGTGAAAATAAGAAAAGCAGAATTGCAATAATTGATTGACGTTAATATGCGTTTTAAAAATTCTTAAATGAAAAAAAAAAAGAAGAAAAAAATGGAATCTCATCACGTATAAATATTATTTCGTGTATTTTGTATATATTTCTCACATTCGCAATTTTATAAAATCTTAGCACAATAAATCGTACGTAATGATCTACAATTATGATTTCACATTTCTCCATCGCGAGGACCACTACCATCTTCAGAATGAGTAACAAAGAAAGAAAAAAACTCCGAAACGCAATTCTTGTAAAGGCGGCAATTAAAAAAAATATTACAAGAGACCCTCGCCTAGAATCGCAATGCGCCTTGCGATTCTCCAACCGGTTCTGCGCAAAATAAATATGCTAATTTCGGTCATAAAATTTCCGGCGGCGAAATTCCGCTGAATTCATTTGCGGACTTTTCCGCGAAGAGTGTACGTTATACTGTACTTCCTCCCTCTCGCGCAAAGCTGCGTCACGAAGTGTGATATATTAGGGTGCTTTTACACAAAGAGCGAATTACGTTTGCGCTTATGCAACATAGACGTTTCAGGCTGATCATAATCTTTATGAATGTGGCGGATTATCACTTGGCAAGAGCATATTTCAACTTATAAATTGTATCGCGGTTGTTCAGTCAGAATCAGCAAATTGGAAGAAAATGCTGATTGAAAAAAAAAAAATATATCGGAAAACGTAATTGAATTTAATTGATCAGAATAAATAAATTTCGAAATCGGTTAACGTTAAACCTACATTCAAACGAATCAAGTTATATTTGAAGGAAATACAATGGACACCGTGGACAAATTAATAATAGATTTTTACTTTTTCTTGGCTATTTTTACCTTTAATTCACGACACGTGTATAATTAAGAAAAATAAAGACAAAATTTTTAACTCCCTTCCTTTAACGAGCGGTTAAAGAAACATTTGGCCGCTCAATGAAGATTCTTTCGACTATTCTGTATTCGACGCGACGTAATCGTGCATCTCGCTTACTGTAAATACGCGTGGAAATTGTAGGAAACGATTAAGTAGCATTTCGAGAGACCGAGTTAGCTAACTCCATTAGTATTCAAGGGACATGCTTTGTGTGGTGTCTCCTAATTTAATAGCATCCACCGTTTAGCTGGAAACCACGACCTCTCGCGCTGGTTATGATAATAGAACGAAAAGGAATTCCAATGTGCACATTCATGCACGTGTGATATATGATTAGTTATTTCAGTATCGATAAGCAGCTGTAATATATCGTGTCACGATATCAGTCACAATTCGTGTTGGCACAGGTGCGACGCTATACAACAAACTATATAATCAACAATCACGTATTAAAATGTCAATATCGTCAACATGTATATATATATATTTTAATAACATCGATGTATCGATATAAAAAATTAATATGCAGACATATATATAACTTTGCGATAATAAACAAATATGAATAAGTTTACAAATATGTTAACCTCAAAATAATCCCGCCAAGTTACATAGTCACGGTTATTAAATATCTTAACCATTGTGAAACGATAACGATGTGAAAAATCCTACTCTTTTTTTTTTAAATGCCTCGCATATTTTCGTTTCATAGGAAGAGATAACGTATTTCAGATTTTCCGCTTCTTACCACCCTCTTCCTACCACCACTTGCGCATCTACGCGAAGAGATAAGCCCGGAGAAAAAAGTCACGTTCGCGCGGTTTATCCGATTTTCTCCTTTGTACCGCCGGCGTGTCACCGCCGATTCCGCCGACAAAGGAAAGCGAGTAAGGGCACGAAGGGGCAAAAAGCTGTCTCTTCACCAGCACCCCCCCCCCTTTCACCAACACTTTCGGAGCAGCGCGGCCGCGTCGTGTTAAACGCTTCCGGTCTCCCTTCGTGCGATCGGCCAAGATTCGCCGAGCTCGACAGATATTTTAATGGAAGTTCGAACTCGACTTAAGATATTTTGCCCGAGTGGTGCGAGGCCGCCGAAGTGTTCATAATGAGATGTTAATGGAGTAGCCGAGGAAAAAAAGTCTGTCACTCGTCACGTCACGGTATCGACAGGTCTCTCCTCTCTTCCCCGGGATCCCCCTTCGGACCCTTCCCCCTCTTCGTCTCTTCTCCCCCGATACTTCTTGGCTTCTGCTTCTTCCTTACGTCGTCGGAACGGCAAGCATTTTCACTCTCCTGCGTGTCCTTCGATCGGGAAGGGAGGGGGGGAGGGAGGGGGCGAAAGGGGAAGCTTATAATCCATTTTGTCTACCGCAGACTTTGTGCAAATGAACTTTGCTTAAAAAAACCTTTTCTAGGGGGTAGAACCGGCTAACCGGTTCGGTCGACAAGTAATCCTGCATCGAGAATGAAATCCTGTCAGCGAACTTACGGCGAGAGCGGAAGGAGGAAGGGCGCGTGGGCTAATATTTTTTGATCCTAATAAGGATAGATGACAGCCGCTAAGAGTACAAAGTCCCTCGTCATTTTTCAAGCAATTATCGGCTCTGTTCGTTACTTCGGCTATGCTATGGGATATTTTATATCTAATGACAATGATTTGTGCGATAAGGCGACATGGGGTAACGAGCGAGTTGCCAGTGTCAATTAATTCTGCGTTAAATCTTTCAGGACAGAATTTCATCCTATATCCGATTTCCAAAAGAAAGATCATCTCAATTATATTAAATGAAAGTTGAGTTTAGCTAGACAAGTGTCAAAATTGCTTTTAGAATAAATAGGCATATTATTTATAATATGCCTATAATATTATTTAAGGACATTTAATGTAATGAGACGATGTAACAGAGACAAATCGACACATGATCTACCTTTTTTTTTAGCCTTAGTCCAGCAAAGAATCCGATACGGATTAAGGAACAAATTCAGTATAATAGATGAATCGAAAATAGCAAAAATTGCAAAATAGCAGAGCATAAAGATACGGAGCAAAAATTATGAAACACGTCCGTTCTACTTAATGGTCCACACAGGACGATCTGCACATGATCTGTGAAACGGTAGTCAAATCAAATCAAAATCGTTCTGTTTCAGACTTAAAATAAATGTCAACAGGTTGACTTGAGCGAAAGTCTCGACTTGACAACGATGCTTTTTATATATTAGAAAAAAATGGAAAAATGCTCGTTGTAGATCGCTTTAGATTGATATCGCTGAGGTCAAGGCAAGTTTATGAAATATTCTCATGCTTTCTGTCAGGACAAAGTTTAGATATATTGAATTTGTACGATGGTCGCATAACCGAGAGACGTGAGAAATAAAACAAATTGTACATATACAGGGAAATATATTCGATGTGGACGGTGCGCGCGATAC